AAGGAGGAAGGTCTGTTCTGGCTCACATCTTCAGAGGATTAGCCCGTGGTTACTTGGCTTCATGCATTTGGGCAGACATGACAATAGTGGGAAAGTCTGGTAAGGAAGTTCTCTACCTTGTGCTTGCTGGGAAGCTGAGAAAGGGACTATGGGAAGGGGAGAGCTCAGAAGGACACACCCCCTGACCTGGCTCTTCTACTTCTGTAATACTTCAAACAATGCTACTCTTCCATGATCAATCCATTCAGAGTCCCAAGCCTTCTCACCTTCTCAATCCTGCTCCCTCCCTCCCTCCCTCCCTCCCTCCCTCCCTCCCTCCCTCCCTCCTCTCTCTCTCTCTCTCTCTCTCTCTCTCTCTCTCTCTCTCTCTCTCTCATCTCCATGTGACTCATGTTCACCCTGAATTTTTGGCATCCCTGCCTTAGCTTTCCCAGTGCTGGGATGACAAGCCTGTACCACCATGTCTGGCTCATGATATAATCTGGATAACGTCCTCACAGACACATTCACTGACAAACTTTACCAGTCTCCTAGGTGTCTCTCAGTCCAGACAAGCAGATGATCAAGGTTAACCATCATGGTCATGTAAGAGGCTGGGAATTTTATAGTTGCTTGTACCTACACAGTGAATGTGTCCTGCTGTTTGCAGTGACATCACAAACATTCCAAGATCCTTAATATCACTTAGAGAGAAGTGCTTATTTAGAGCAAAGTGCTTAGTTAGAGCAGTTATGGCCCATTTTGTTCTCATAACACCTCATGGCAGCAAAGAGATACTGTTATCATACCTGCTTTACAGTGTTTTTTGAGGCCAACCTCAGTTCAAGGAGGCATAGCAATACATTCATTCCCAGAAGCCTGACCCTCCTCTTGTTTCTTCAGGTCTAAGTCTTTCCTTGTGAGAGGGTTTCTGAGCTAGAGAGGCTGCTCATCTGACAGAGTCAAACCACACACCCTTTTCTGTCACGAACTCTGTAGCAAGCTCTCACACATCCTGGTGACTACAGTCTCTTGTGGTTGGCACAGCCCAGGATGAGAGTAACTTCCCTTGGCAGACAGAAGAGACTTGTGGAAGTACAGAAGTGGCCCTGGGAAGCTCTGGAGACTAACTTAAGCTCTGAATGCACCAAGATACAAGTAACAGCAGCAGCAGCAGCAGCAACAGTAAGCTAGTGTGCTGGAGAGAGGTAGAGAAGTTAAGAGCACTTGCAGATGGGAGTTTAGTTCTCAGTGCTCACATCTGCAAGTCCAGAAGTGCCTGTAACTCTAACTCCTTGGGATCTAGAACCTTCCTCTGGCCTCTCTGAACATGTTAACTCTCAAATACATTACCTAAGGACATAGACAGAAACATACACTATAATTTTAGAAGATAAACTATGTCTTTGAAAAAGGATAGAAACAGCTAGTGAGTGTGTGGCCACTCATTTGTTTTTTAAATGTAAGTGGAAAATATCTTCTTGGATGTCACTAGCCTGGCAGCAGGCCTCTATATACTGAGCAACCTAAAGAACATCTACACACTCTCTGCAGGCTGAGGAAACTGAAGGATTCACGTAAGACAGATACAAAGCACCTTTTTTGCTTTCATAATTTCATGGTTTGTTTGGAAACTTGATGAACTATACCATCAGGTCAGCCATATAACAAGACGCTAGCATGGTGAGGGATTGCCTCGAAGGTAAGCTCATAGGAGAGAGAGACTTCAAAAACAAGTCAAAAAAGACTTTTTAAAGTGAAAACTAGTGTGCATGGAGGAATGCATTGTGACAAGATACCTCCAAACACAAATTCTGTATGAAGCCAGGTAGTGAGTCCATTCAGTATCTGGTGTATCAGGCAGTATCTGGTGTATCAGGCAGTATCTGGTATATCACTTGGTGGTATTTAGAGTTGAGGGAAAGCATACACAAAGTGTCTTTTCCACACCTCTCCTTACTCCTGACTTAGAACAAGAGACACCCAGCTTCTGGCCCAGGAAACCTGGGATTAAAGCAGGCCAATAATCCCTAAATGATACTTTATTTATTAGTCACAAAGAATTCTGTCACTATAGCAACTGGGATTGATTGATACCAGAAGTTTTCTTATGGACAGGGGGCTCAGAATTCTGACTCTCACACCATGTGGTGAGGGCATTGTGTCACCAGCCAGCTCTGGGCAAAAGGCTTCTCTACAGCGGCTGTAGACACAGTGCCTTGGTCCAGTGTAAAATGCCACTTGATCTACACTCTGGCCCTGGAAAGAGAGTCCATATATTGGTTTCTGGGTCTGATGCACTCCTAGAGAGTGAAGCCATATGTTCACTCAGAGAGCAGAAGACAGGCAATTTTAGAACTATATTTTCACGGGGGGGGGGAGTGCCTTCAAGTTGGTAACTTCCTGGAAATTTGGGATGAATGACAAACTATCACCATAGAGCTCAAGCTGATATTAACAGACTGCTGCCATTGTGAGGCAGAGAGAACAAATGATATGGTCCTGCAACCCTCCTCCCTCCTTAGCTCCTCAGTGCCTAGGTCCCCTCACTTTGCTGGATGTACCCTAGAGGAATGCTGGAAGAGGAGACGGGGCCCTCCTGCCTGCCACGACTGGAGCCAACCTTAGCACGAGGTGCTAAAGCAGTGGTTCTCAGCCTGTCGCACCCCCCTTGGCAAAACTCTTTCTCCTAAAGCATTTACATTATGATTCGTAGCAGTAGCAAAATTACAGTTATGAAATAGCAATGAAAATAATTTTATGGCTGAGGTCACCACAACACAAGGAACTGTATTAGAAGGTCGAAGCCGTAGGAAGGTTGAGAATCACTGTATTAGAGGATTTTCCAAGAAGTCCAGACCCGGGGATCAAGGATAGAGAAGTCCTGGTTCTAAGCTGGCACTCCATGACATCATCAGTGCTTAGTACTCAGTACCTCCTATACCAGTCTTTATGCACCACTAAACTATCTGGACTCGGAAAGCTCCCCAAGAGCCTCCCAGGAAGATTTCTGTTTGCCTCTGTTCCCTTCCATCTGGGCGTCTCTGGCCACATTAGCTGAGCAGAAGCAATGATGGTTCATTTCAGATGCAGTGGGCCAGGTGCCGTGCCGCACGATCTTTTGCACGCATGATCTTTTGTACTTCCCTCCCTTTGCATAACCAGAGCAGATAGTGGTGGCCGCCAGGCCCACGTTATAGCCGAAGCAGAGGACGGACCAGAGAAGTACAGAGAGAGACCTGGGGCCACACAGCTGAGACACACCAGAGCCCAGATGTAACCTGGTGTTTAGGGATGTGTGTAGAAGTTGCTCACTGGAAGAAGGGTCTGGAGGGGAACAGCTCTGCATGGGTCGGGGCTCACAGGACTGGCGGCACGCTGCATCAGGAAGGCACAGCACACAAATTCAATCATCGTGAAGCCCTGCTGGAGGCTGCCCTGTCATCCCTCATTGCAGCAGCTTTTGTGGCCGTTGTCCTTTCCCTCGTGTGAAATGAGAAATGCCGTTTGAATAACCGATGGCAAGGGAGGCTGTGCACACTCCAATGAGGAAATAAAAAACCTTCAGAAGGATGCAATTTGGGGGATATTGGAAACCAGAGAATGGAACATCAGTCTATAAAATCCAACACGCCCAATAAAGTTGGAGCAACTGGTCAAGTGTTTTAGTGCGCTCGGTTGCCGGGGAAGCGGCGGGCATGAGCTGGGCAGCGCTTCCAGGCATTTGTCCTCAGCTCATTGTGGTCTCATTTGCATAATGCACCTCATGATTCTGAAGTACCTTAACATTAGCGTCATGAGCACAGCCATGAAAGTGTCTGAGATTATTCCTGTCACAGGCTTAAGTGCACCTTCCCAGAGCCCATGCCACCACAGCCAACCCAGAACAGCCCGTTTGTTAGTTGGGTGCTGGTGACTCGGGGCGGAAGGGGTGGAGGCTCCCATAACTGTGTTCCTCACTTAGACTGTGACCACCCAACCCAGGCCTGTGTCCTAGGGCATGTGCACATGCTGAGGGTAGTCATGGGGAGCCTGTGAGGCCCAGCTCATCACCACAGAGTAGTTCTGCAGTCCTTGGTGGCCAGCAAACACATGCCCCCCACACCTTCCTTGCTATATCCAAAGCAAACCTCTGGTCTCACAGGATCCAAGGGAAGCTCTCCCGCCTCCAGTGCCCCCAGTTCAGTCCAGGAAGGCCTGTTAATCTCTCATGTTCTGCTTCTGTTGCATAGGAAACCTAATGTACACCCGGTCATTTTACTTCAGGCTTACAGCATTGCTGCAGGCCAAGACACGTACTGAGGCCACATTGACACAGGAACGGCATTTTAGCCTTTGCACCCACATGTATTTGTAAGTCTCTGAGCACCTTTTTGGTATACTGTGCTGAGTACTGACAAGATGCTAATACATAAGACAGAGCCCTCCCTGTGGCTCTTACTGTCCTGCCCCTCTCTTCCTACCTAAACCCAGCACAGAGTGAGTTCTCTGGTCTCTCTCTCCATACATCTGTTTTGCTGTCTTTGTGGTGGTTTCTTGATTCTGTTCACGGCTTCTCTGAACAGGCAAGGCACGGGACGTTCTCCCACTGACTGGGGACTACTCTGCAGGTATTATCTGGTCATTTTATATGCACAGTGTGGCTTCCTGACTCATTGAACTCGGTTCCACGTGGTCTTTGTTGCCACTTTGCAAGACACATGCTATGCAGAGACTTGGTCATACTATGTTGTCTGGTACCTTGCGGATACAGACTCACCTCTCGTTAAGAGGTTAGTTTGACCTCCTAGATTTTGTTCTCCAAGGGTAGAGAAGGGACTGAGATTTCTGGGGGTGGGACTCAGACTGACGCCACATTGTTGAAGGGTCTCTGCCGTTACTGAGTTAATGAATGTACCGATCCTTCTCTTCATTTCCTCTACACTCGTGACCTCTACACCCAGCACCTTCATCACTAGCCAAAAAAGTGTCAGAAGACCCACGACAGAACTAAAGCACAGGGCCAGGAGCCCTCTCCCTACCTTTGAGGAAGCAGTCCTTGCTGTGCACGCTGACAATCCGCGTGCCCAGCAGGCAGGCTGCACGGCGAAGCTCACAGTGGTTCCCATAGAGCCTCCCATCGGAGCCACACACAGGCATGTAGCGGGGCCTGCACACCTCCACACAGTGGCACGAGGGCTGCCCTGTCACCCTGTCAGGCAAGCACCTGCTCCCGTGGCTGCAGAGTTTCTTCCCGCAGGAGGCTGACAGCCCAGGGCTGGGAAGACCTGTGGATGTACACAAATGCAGAGGGTTAGTTAGCTCAGGTCACAAACAGTGCAAGGGTAGAGCTTCAACTTCCTGCTGTGGTTCGGATGAGACTGGCCCCCAGAGGCTCATATACTGGAATACTTGGTCCTCGGCTGGAGGAACTGTTTGGGGAAGATTAGAGGTGTGGCTTTATTGGAGGAGGTGTGTCACTGGGGGTGGGCTCATGCCATTCCAAATTAACTCTGCCTCTCTCTCTGCATTGTGCTTGTGGATCAGATGTGAGCTCTCAGCGACTGCTCCAAGGCCAAGCTTGCCTGCCTGCTGCCATGTTATCTGCCATGATGGTCATGGACTCAGCCTCTGAACTGTAAGCCCCAACAAACCCTTCTATGAGTTCCTTTGACCATGGTGTCTTCTATCACAGCAGGTTTAAGGTAACTAAGACAGGCAGTCCAGAGGCTATGAGAGTTTAGGAGCTTCTTTTTGGACCAGTGTCCAAGGCAAAGGTATAGCCATAGATATAGCTGTAGAGAGAGCTGAGCGGAGCCACTGAGGAGTGCTACATCAACCCTGGGAAGTCACTGCAGAGTCTAGAGAGGAAGTGTGAGGAGGTGAGTGGGTGACCATCCCATCAGCAGCAGGGCCACCAGCATCCTCCTCCAACCTCCCACCAGTCCTCTCCAGCTTGATCTTGTATCTAAGGCTGATACCTGGAATCTGGGGCTGCTACACTGCTTGGATAGCCCCTGTGTCTGACACCCACCCACAAGGATCTTGGGATAGTAGGGCTCAGAGTTCACATCCTGAGGCAGGTGACTGGGGTGACTTATTTCACTGATAAAGAGAGAAGTCCATACAGAGCATTTTAATATTCCACCATATGAGAAGAGTCCAGGGAATTAGAGGATGACCCCATGCCATTAATGATAACATATGACAGGCTTGGAATTATAAAAAAACAAACAAACCCAAAGTCCAAAGAATTAAAATGTGGATACAGAATTTATAGCCGTGGAGGCTTTTGCCTTTTGTTTTGATGCAATGATCTTCCATGCTTGTTATGCACATCTGTCATCTTGGAGAAGCTCAAGGCCAGCTTTGGGTACATAATGAGCTGAGACTAACCTGGACTACATAAGACCAGGTACCAAAGATCAAAACTAAAACATCACACAAACAACCAAGTCCAAACAAATAAGCTGTCTCCTGTACACTATACAAGACAGAGTGGCCCTTGTGTCAACACCGAGACTTCAGCCTCAGCTTCTACTCCCTGGGACAAATGCATGTATAAGGGAAAAACCAAGAAACCTTTTCCTGCTTTGGGTTAGGTCTGCTTTTCATCATCATAGATTTGAAAGGGAAAAAAAATCAGTTATGAGAAGATTAACTACTTGATTCAATAACTCATTTAAATTCCCCTAACCTTGGCAAGTTAAGAAGTATCGACTTTTTTCTTGCATCATAATAAACTCGAAGGTCAACAATTTCTCTGCACAGTAAGAGTGAAGAAGCATAGCGGGGCCTGAAAACCTCCCTTATCTGGGGCTGTCTGTCTGCCCCCACGTCCTGAAAAGCCACCTCTCCTACCCCTCCTGGAGGTTGACCAGTAGCAATGGGAAGGGAAGGGTCCAGAGAGCAGGCTCGTAGCAGAGGACCCTCTGGGCTGGAACCCCCCCCACACACACACACAGCACTTCTGGTTGCTTTGCCACCGAGCGTGTTTGATTAGCAGGATTCTCCTGGGTTGTTGGGAAATGGGCCACCCTGGAAAATGCTGGCAGCTACTAGAAGAAACTGACACTGTGCTGAAACAATCAGCTTTTGTTTCTTTCCCAAGACAGGGTAAGGAAGTGAAACCTTACCACTCACTAGATACCGTTTCAATAAACGTCCCCGTGCAAGCAGAACAGAACTGACTAATAGCTCCTTTTGAGAAGAAACAGCTCAAGCCTTTGGCTTCTCAGATCCAGCTGTGTGGTTTCTTCTCTCACTGTGACCACCCCTTTGCTCTCCCCCAATTGCTATAAGCTCCAATTTTCCTTAGGGGGGTATTTCTTCTTATAGTTTCCCTCTATCCATTCCCCTAGAACATGTGTTCTGGCTCTAGCTTTAGGAGGCTCCACAGGTGCTGGGCCATTGTCCTTCTGTGGCCACAGAACTACCAGGCTTTAAGAAACACAACAATTTTAAGGACAATTTAGTGCCAATGCTCCAATACCAGGCCAGAGGCTGGCATGAGGAGGGTGATGGGGCTCACGCTCAGTGGTCGTTCATCTTTGCCTGCCTCTCCTAAGTGGACAGGAAGGATGTGTAAGGGTGTGGCATGGAGGACAGACATTTCCCCGGAGGTGCCTTCTGCAGTCAAGGGAACCAGAGACCACCTTCATTCAGATAGCGGCAGCCCCTCCACCTGGCACTCTTCTTTGAAAGGCTAGATTGTATTAAACACCACGGGAGTCCTTCGCTCCATGATTAGCTTGCAGGTGACTTTCCATAAACTGTGCCCCAAGGGGGTCACAGTTAAGAAAACACCTGTGCCAAACTGTGGCCATGGAAGACAGTGAGAACTCTACCTTCTCTCTCTGATGTGGAAATCAGCTGTCAGCAAATATTTGATTCCTAATTAAGACAAAAGGAGTGTTGAAGCCCTATGTATGTCCCTCACCAAGGCTGTGGCCCTCACCAAGGCTGTGGACAGATGGCCCATGGGGAGCTGAGCTTGCCCGGGCAGGGACAGGCAAGGACAGGCATGGACGGAGACACTGACCATGAGGTAGCTTCTTCATTAAACAAGCCCCTCACAGACACTTCCTTTTTGTCATTAAAGCAGAATGAATTCGCCACTCCTACCGGGATGATGATAAAATAGTAATGGGAAAGGTAACGGAGTGAGACTCCCGGCAACTGCCTCCAGTGTTTATGAGGACAACCATGATGCGTAAAAAAGATAGCATGTGCCTAATTTATAGTCATAAGGAAAGTCATTTACCCAGGTTAAAAACTGATCATCTTGCCAAATAAACTGCTTTTCAACACTAATTAAATTTACTGAACATGGGGAGACATGGGAATTGATACATTACAGGGATGGTGGTAGAGCCACAAATCTATTTGTACTTGTTGGTGCTGAAGACCCCCTGCTGCATTTACAGACGACGCTGGATCAGAGTGCCACAGACCAGGTGGCCAGAAGCTCTGAGCTTGGTTGTATTAGGTGTGACTCAGCACTAGCCTGAGCCCAGGAGGAGGCTGTTCAAGGCAGGTGAGTTCCAGGATGGCTTCTGGATGCAAAAAAGGGAATCTGATTCACCTGTGATTGTGGGTATGGCTTCCTCACAGCCCAGTGCCTTCAAGACCTAGGTGGGTTACTTTGCTTCCAAACTCTGGCTCCTTGGTCCTCGGTATACCCATGATGGTATCCAGGGTGACACATGGGGAAGCTATAGTTGAATGTTCCCTTCAAGATTCATGTTGGCATGCATTATGCTTGTGATAGTTAAAGAGACAGGGCCTTTCAGAGGTGACTGGGGCACTGGCATAGCTTCTGTCCTCACTGCTATGGCAAAACAGCCAACAAAAGCAACTCATGGAAGCAAGGGTTTCCTCTGGCTCTCAAATTTTTGATGGTACAGTCCCTCACAGCAGCAATGGTGTGAGGCAGCTGCTCACATTGCATCCCCACTCAGGAAGCTGAGAGTGAGGAATTCTGGTGCTCAGCTCACTTGCATTTAGTCTGGGACTCCAGTCCACAGGATGGTGTTAATCACATTCAGGGTCAGCCTTCCCTTTTTAGCCAAACCTTTCTGAAAACAATTGTATTGACAGGTTCAGAGATATGTTTTCATGGGATCAGGGGTTTGATAATTAGGCTATGTTGGCTCAATCAGTCAGTACAGTGTCCTCCTGTTCCTGCCTTCCCAGTGCTGGGCTTGAAGGCTTTGCACATGGGTACTGGGAGTTGAGCTCAGGTCTCCATGTTTGCACAGCAAGCCTTTTACCTACTGAACTACCCAGCTGTGGGTTATCTTATTCATGAGGAAGAAGTTGGGTATGGGGGAATTGGAGAAGTTAGGTGCACACAGAGGAGGAAGGAAGAAATGAGGTGGCTGGGCATGACATTTTACCAGTGATTGACCAATACAGGCCAGGAAAGCCAGGACCTCCAGGCTTACCATTGCCTCCAGAATGAATAATTTGCTCTTTACTGAAACAAATGTATAAATTCACACATAACCTCATAGTTCAGACTGCTAATGAATGGTGAGTGTTGGGAGGTGCTAAGCTGAACAGAAGTGACCTGCTAGCCTAGGCCAGGGCTTTGACAGGTGGGCCTGTCAAACAAGGCACCAGCATGACACTATGATTGGTTTTACTCCTGGGGAGGGCTCTCATTCTTCCTGAACTGCGGTGTCAACCCCAACCTCATCAAGAGACCCCAGAAGAAGGAATATGGGGCTCTAGATAACAAAGTTTGGCCTTAGAGAGACAGATAATGCTCTTTGGAGAGAGAGGCAGTGGGCAGGAGAGAGGGAGCCAGAGCCAGAGGAATGCCATGCCAGAACTTGTTGTAGGCCTTATTAGAGTTACCCTGTCTGCCCTTGAGCAACCACATGCTTAAGACATTTATTTTACCCAGGCCCATACTCCTAGGGCTTGGTGGTAGCTCCCTATCTTCTTGTCTTTCTGGCTTAAAATCATGAATGGTGTCTATCTGTTCTTCACAAGATGATTGGCAGGACTGAAGGAGATCATTCACCAATGGAGATTGGTGTGCAGCAAAGGCTGATCCAGAACTTCTGAGCCAGTGATGGGAGGAGAAGACAGGGCTGGGAAGGAGGGAGCCCTGGAGCTAGTCAAATCCAAGTGCCTATGAGCACGGTGGGGTGGTGACTGCCTTCAGGAGGCTAGCCTTAAAGGGAGAGTGGACACATTTATATTCAAAGTATTGACTGAGTTTAGAAGGCAGACTCAAACTGCATGCCTCCAAATACTCCCCAGAGAGGCTTCCCCTGCA